GCCTTGTGCGGCGCCAAGAACGCGGCCAGCAGCGCCACAGCGCTCGCGGCCTCGGGGGCGGGCGACACGTCCACGACGGGCACGGCGGACAGGGCACTGCTGGGCAGGCCGGCGCAGAGGAGCGCCAGGGCGAGGACAGCGGCCATGGCGTGCATTTGGAGCGGACTGCCTGCTCCGAAGGCTTACCAACTTATTTCCTGTTATGGCTGAATCCTTATATTGATCGGACCATAGAAGTTGCACGTCAGGGCGTTATCACCCAAATGATTTCTTAATCTTAGCGACATTTGTGGTTGCCTCGTCATGTCACTGCTGCTTGCAAACGGTTGCTCTATTCAGGCATTCGATCGAGGACAACACAACGAAATGTTTGTGCCTTTTCACTGGTGTCTTAATGATCTGTTCCGGCTTAAGGGGCAGTTTGAAAGGGGTAAAAGGGGGGGGGGCGTGCCTCTACCCCCTCCCCCTCCCTCTATTCAGCTTGAGATAAGACGCCTGAAAATAGGCAATTTAGGCGCGGGCTGGTTCGCCAACTCGCTTGGGCCTTACAGTGCCATGCCCCTTGACCGGCCCGCATGTGCGTCTATTCTGATTCACCCCAGTACATAGGCAACCTACGATAGAATCTACACCAAATTCTATAGACGCCCAAGAAGGGCCGCCTGGCCGCCGCCACACTGGAGACCCCGTAAAGTCCTGTTCTGAAGGGGGAAAAGCGGGGAAAGTAGCGAAGAAAAAGTAGGTCGTAGAAAATGTAGCTAGGACAAATGGTTTTGGGTAGGTCCGGAATCACCAGGTCGTAGAAACGCGGGTCGTCCAAACGATAAAGACCCGTGTGCCGAGCTGTTGCATGCCGTCATATCCCAGTGAGAAATGAGTGTTCGAATCGACCTCGAATCGACGTCGACCGCTCGAGAAGTTATCGTTGGTCCTGGGACGAAGTTGTCGACGAAATTTCGATGTTACTCGAGAAGAGCCCTATGACACGGCTTAACTCAGCTAATGGGTCTTAAAGTGTTACAGAACGGTTCCTGGTACTAAATTGCAAGAAATTTCGTATTGTACATGATCGATGTCGATTCGACGTCGATTCGAGATAGGGTCTTCTTCCCCTGACTGTACAGTTAGCTCTCGCTGGTGACCCGCAACGCCAAAACAACTATAGTCAGGAGACGTGTCCGTTTCAATGCGGGAGGCGTCAGGCATTTCACCTCCTGGAGTGACGTTTTGAAATGATGGCGACGCGGGTGCCCATGGGCACCAACAGTCGCTTCTGGACATAGCTCAACCGTTGAAATCCATCCCTTAAGTCCCTATTCGATAAGTTATCGAAATAGTCGATGTCGAAAACACGTCGATTTGAGGGACAAAATCCCGTCGATTCGACATTTGGAATCGACAATTTTTCAACCTGCCTAATCGACGTCGATTCGATGTCGATTCGACCACTGATTTCTTACTGGGAATTCGATGTCGATTCGACCACTGATTTCTCACTGGGTATAGTATACCCACGGACACTTGTGCACACTTGCGGACTGAGTTGAAGTCAACCACTCAAACACTAGATGGCGCTTCGGAAATTTTACACATCAATGTTTTTAATAAGTCATTTTTACGTGAATAAGTTTCAACACTTCAACCCCAGGGCACTGCCTATAAACCGCGTAGGATTGAGAGAGGTCCAGCGAGAAACTCTCTCGCCCAAAACCACTCTACTGCAGCGACAAAGATATCGAAAAGTATATGGTCGGTGTTTGGCCTGCTTCAGGTTTCGGCTTCTGCCGTAGCGTTCTTCCGAAACGTTCCACCGGCCCGCTTCTGCACCAACATGAAAAGTTTTGTCCAGGGCACAAAACGTTTTGTTTTCCTGAGACAGAGAGATTGGACTTGTGAAACGAAACGTTTGTTGCTGGACCTCCAATGGTCATATTGCTCGGCAAGACTTCTGTTTTCATCAGTGGCGCCTCCCACAGAAGCTGCTCAGGACCTCGCCAACGAAGGCGGCTCCCGCCAGGATGAGGCCGCCGATGAGGAATACGAAGGCGGGGAACATCTGCCGCAGGGTCAGGGGCTGCGCCGGCCGCAGCCCCCTCAGCCGCCTCTCCCTCGCCAGGCGCTCCACGGCGTCCTGCATCGCGTGGTGGTGAATGTGAAGGCCCGCCTGCTCTGCGCGTCTGGTGACCT